TGTGTGTTTTTCCCCCTCCTGAACATTCTGGGGCCGCGCCATGAAACAAACCAATCGTCGGACCCAGATATCCGAAGTATTGCAAAAATCAAGGCAGAGGTTTGTCGCAGATTTTGGCCCCCAGGGGCCCTCGCCGGGCCTCGGGACCGTCAAAAAACAACTGAGGATGAAAAGCCGGTCCTGGGGAGTGGGTCGAGACTTCCGGGGACCCCGTATTGCAAAAATCACGACGTCGGATCTCTGGGGATGACTGGATCGCTAGCAGCGCAGCGCCGGGATTCGTGAGCGTGTCCCTTCAAACCCACAAAGAAGGCAAGCTCTGGCGGGGGCGAAAGCGCCTCGCGCTGTCTGGCGCCAGTGGCGGCTGCCTCCGGCGGTCTCCGCAGCTAGATGCCCGCTCGCTGGCCGGACCGAGCCAGCCCAGCGGGTCCGCGGGGCCACCTCTGGCTGGCCCGCGGGAGAGCCCGACACTGAAGGCGCCGGGCCGCCCGGGCGCGCTGGTGCAGGGGCCAGGGCGCGTCAGGACCTGCCTCGGGGAAGCAAAAAGGCACAGATACCTCTACTCCGCGGACCTCTCTAGGGGGACACATGCGAACCCTACCCCTACCCCCCACGATTTCTAAGGGGGAGTGTGGGGTTCACTTTGTTCGGGAGCTCCCGAGCGGAGTGCACCCCACCCTCCCCCTCAGAAATCGTGAGGGGTAACTAGGGGTAGGGTTCGCGCATGGCCCCCGACTCTCCCGGAGTGCGTTCTGACAGGAGTGTCGCGGCAAAGGCAGCCCTGGCGACGAGGGCCTGCCTGGAGAACCCACCGGGGCGGAAACGAGGGCAAGGGGGGGTGGCGCAGCTCCCTTCTCCTCCTCTGAGGCCTGGGGCTGCCTGGGGGGCTGTCCTCGGCGCCGAGCGCGGAGAACCACCGCGCCGCCGCCTCGCGCGGCCCTGCCCCCGCGGCGCCCGCCCGCTGCCGCTGACAGGGGCTCGCACTGCGGTGCCGCCAGAGGGCCTCCGCCGCCGCGCCCGCCGCCGTGGGCGGCGCCGCGCGCGCGGCGCGGCCCGCCGCTGCGCCCGGGGCACCGCGGCGCGCCTGGCCGCCTGCGCGTCGCCGCCCGCGCCGGCGGCGGCTGCCGCGGGCGGCGGCAGCTCGGGCGGCAGCTCGGGCGCGGCCTTCGCCGCGGCGGCGGGCCCGGCGGCGCGGGCGGGCGCTGGCGGCCGGCGCTGGCTGGCGGCGGCGGGCGGCGCCGCGGGCACGGCCGGCGCCACGGGCGCGGGCGCGGGCGGCGGGCGCCGCCGCGGCGGCGCAGTCCACGATGCCCGCGGCGCCGGCGGCGCCGAGCAGCACCGGGAGGCCGTCCTGCCGCCCCGCAGGGGCGGGCGCCTCGACGACCGCGGGCGCGCCGCCGCGTGGGGCGGGGGCCTCGCCAGCGCGCCCGTCGGCGGCGGGCTGCGTCTTCTGGCGCGCCGCGCCCGCCGCGTGCAGGGCGCGCCGCCTCGGCACGAGGGGACCGTGTCCTCCCTCGAGTTCGGGGATCGACTACAGGATCTACGTACCCTCAAGAGATCGAGCACTCCTTGGAAGAGATAGGATCTACCTACCCTCACGGGATCTACTCACCCTCAAGGGATAGGCTCTATCTTACCCTATTGGCACGAAGGAACCGTGTCCTTCGAGTTCGGGGATCGACTATAGGATCTACCTGCCCAAGACTTCGTTTGTCCGTCGACTATAGTTAGCTGGTTTGTCCGTCTCACCTACAAGAGATCGAACATCATGTTCTACGAAGATTCCCAGTTGATTTCATGGATTTTAGAAAGAAAAGAGTCTGGGGCCAAGCAACTCTGCCGTCGATCTCCGACCCGAGTCCTGAGAGGCGGGGGCCCTGGACTCCTGGGCATTTCCCCGGGACCAGCCCTTCGTCCCGAGCTGTGTCTCACAGCCGTGGTGTCCGTGGAGGGCGCGCAGAGCCTGAGAATGGCAAACAAACCTTGGGCCCGTTTCCCACCAGGACCCATTCCCTGAATTCCGACGTAGCTGGGAAATCATCCTGGCAAGGATGCCTTCGGTGGAGCCCCCTATTGGCACGGAGCGCGCGAAGGATGTGCCGCCATGAGGCGTGGCTGCCATGCGGGCGCTGCCGCTGGGGCCGTCGGTGGAGCTCCCCATGTGGCCATGAACCGTATGCGGGGTGTGCCAACATGGAGGGGAGCCATGCAATTCATATCCTTGGGCCTTCGGTGAAGCTCCCTATGTTGCCACGAAGCGTGTGAGGGGTGTGCCAAAGTGGAGGGAGTGCGGCATGCGAACCATGCCACTGGGGCCTACGGTGGGTGCCCTATGGTGCCACGACGCGTGCAAGGGGTGTGCCAAAGTGGACGGGGGAGCGGAATGCGAGCCATGCCACTGGAGCCTTCGGTGGAGCTCCCCATGGTGCCACTACACGTCTGAGGGCTGTTGCAAAGTGGAGAGGGGGCGGCATGCGAACCATGCCACTGGGGACTTCGGTTGAGCTCCCTGTGGGGCCGCGAAACAGAAGAGGAATGTACCAAAGTGGAGACGGCATGCGAAACATGCCGCTGGGGCCTCCGTTTGGTGTCCCTGTGTGTCCACGAAACGTCTGAGGGGTGTGCCAAAGTGGAGGGGGAGCGACATACGCACCCTGCCACTGGAGCCTTCGGTGGAACTGCCGGTGGTGTCACGAAACGTCTGATGGCTGTTCCAATGTGGAGGGCGGGCGGCATGCGAACCATGCCACTGGGCCTTCGGTGGAGCTCCCTGTGGGGCCACGAAACGTCTGAGGGGTATGCCGAAGTGGAGGGGGGGGGGCATGCGAACCGTGTCTCTGGGGCCTCCGGTGGAGCTCTCCCGATCGAGCCACGAAGCGGTGCGCGATGGCTGGGAAATCCATACAGCACGGCGAAAAAGTCACCACCAGAGCCCTGGGCCCCATCTGCTTGCGCCATGTTGCGAGGCGGATCGACGTGTGAGGGTCCCGGGGACCGAAAGCAACTTGAAACTGCCCATGGTGAAAGAGTGCGACGCCAGAATCTCAGGGCTCAGGGGGCCCGTCTTTTCCTCAGGACCCGAGGCGACCCCTCGACCACTTCCCTGGGATCGGTGCTTCCATCCGAGTCGCTTCTCTGCTGGCCCAGAGGCCCGGTGAGGGCCCCGAAGGGCCGGAAACGATGAGAAGCCTCCGTCTCGATCCTCTCGGAACGCTGGATGTCTGGGCCGCCTCTGGGAAAGGGGCAGGATCCTCGCGAACTTCGAAGATCGCCTCTCGGAACGCTGGATCCTGGGAAAGGGCCGCCTCTCGGAACCCTGGATCCTCTCGAGCTTCGAGGATGGGCAGCCTCTGGCGAAAGGTGGTGGGGCGCACTCCACGGGTGCGCGCGGCACCACCTCCCCGAGTGCACCCTGGCGGACTCACTAATGTTAGGTCGGGCCTGTCCCCCTACAGGGGGATTTTGGACGACAAATGATAAAATCCAAAAAAAAAATGCTCAAAAGATGCCCCAAAATACGCACAAAATAGTCCCCAGCCTAGTTTTCGACTATCTTTGAATATTCCCCCTGTAGGGGCACAGGCCCGACTTCACTCACCGGCAGCTGGATACACAACCGATTGTATCCAGCGAGGCGCACGCAGCGAGTAGCTAAACCGACGGCAGACATCAGGCGTCTCGACAAACAAATCGAGACGAAGACTTGTCAGAACGTTGGGACTCTCGGGGCCCTTAGCGTCTCGAAAAAAAATCGAGACGAAGATTTGTCATAACGTTCGGACTCCCGGGGCCCTTAGCGCCTCGAAAAAAAATATCGAGACGCAGATTTGTTATACCTTTCGGACTCTCGGGGCCCTTAGCGTCTCGGAAAAAAACGAGGCACCGATGTGTCATACCTTTCGGACTCTCGGGGCCCTTAGCGTCGCGAAAAAAATCGAGACCCAGATGTGTCATGATTTTCGGACTCTCGGGGCCCTCAGCGTCTCGAAAAAAAAACGAGGCACAGATGTGTCATGAGTTTCGGACTCTCGGGGCCCTTACCGGGCTTCGGGGCCGTGCGCGACAAACGGCCCGGGATGGAGGACTGGCCCTGGGGAAGCGGTCGAGAGGTCGAGAGCCCGGGCCTCGAACAAGTCCAGACGCCGGCGGTGACCCTCGTGCTGGCGTCTGGAACAGGAACTGTGACCCTCGTGCTGCGTCTTTCGTGACCCTCGTGCTGACCACGAAATACTGCGCTGGTACACTCGTGCGGGCATTTCCCCCGCCGACTTATTTGCGAGGGCGTCCTCTCAATGCCCGAGGGGTTCCTCTGCACCGCTTCCCCCCAAAACGCTGGGGATGCCTAGGCCCTGGTGGTTTTCGGGCCCCACCTCCGCTCTCTGGCGGCCGTTCGGGACGATCCCGGCACCCCCGGACCGCCCTCGACGAGCGCGCAGCTGCAGAAAGGCGCGCCCCGAGGCTGGAAAGCCGCCGCGACCCTACAAGAGCGCCCGAAAACCTCAGCCCCTACAGGCAGGTCGGGAGGCTTCGCCACCGGTGCGTACCCGCTACGGCCAGGGCGGGACCGCACCGGCACATGCACGCGCACGCCGCTCCCGGGGCCTCCACGCCAGGGTGGGGCTAAGGGGGCCGCCCCCGCTTCCCCCCTCTCCCCGCGCCCTGCCCCCCTCTCTCTCCCCTTCTCCCTCACCGCCCCTCCCCGCCTCCCCGCCCCCGCCGCCGTGGGCGTCGGCTTCGGCTTCGGCGTCGCCGCTCGTCGCTCGTCGCTCGTCGCTCGTCGCTCGTCGCTCGTCGCTCGTCGCTCGTCGCTCGTCGTCGTCGTCGTCGTCGTCGTCGTCGTCGTCGTCGTCGTCGTCGCCGTCGCCGTCGCCGTCGCCGTCGCCGTCGCCGTCGCCGTCGCCGTCGCTTCCAGGGCGGGCCTCGCGGCGGCCTCCACGGCCGCGTCTGGCAGCGGGGCCGCGGGCGCGGCGGGCGGCGGCGGCCCGCCGCCTCCGGGGCCGCCCGCGGCGGCGTCCAGGCGCCGCTCCAGGCCGCGGAGCTGCGCCGCGAGGCGGTGGAGGCTCAGCTGGCCGGAGGAGGGCTCGCGTCGAGGCGGCGGCGCGGGCCAGTCGACGGCTCCAAGAGGGGTCCCAGATGAGGGAGAGCCCGAGCGGACAATATGCGAGGCCTCGGCCCCGGTGGGGCCCCGAGGAGGCGCCCAAAAGAGGCCCCCCCGAGAGGCCCCCCCGAGGCCCAGAGGCCCCGAAAGAGGCCCCCCAACTGCCCCCCCCCCCGAGAACGCTCGCGTCGAGGCAGCGGCGCAGGCCCACGGCTTCGGTGGCAACTCACGGGGGCCTCCCAGACATGGCTCGACGCTCCATCGACGCCAGATGCATCGGTCGGCGGCCGAGCTTCGAGGCCTGCGAGCGTTGGCGTCGGTCCCCGAGGGTCGACGATCGACGCTCGAGGTTCGCGCCGTATCTGCGTTCGACGCTCGAGGTTCGCAGCGCACGTCGAGGCGGCAGCAGCGGTGCAAGTCTCTCTACGAGGCACCAGGTGTTCGTATGGCCCATCGCGCCCTCCCTCCTCCTCCTCCTCCTCCTCCTCCTCCTCCTCCTCCTTCTCCTCCCTCCTCCTCCCCCTCCTCCTCGACCTCCTCCTCCTCCTCCTCCTCCTCCTCCTCCTCACTTACCTCCTCTCCTCCTATGTCCTCATCCTCCTGTCCTCCTATCCTCTCCTTCCTCCGCCTCAGCCTCCTCCTTATATACCTTCTTCCTCCTTCCTCCTACTACTCGTCGTCCTCCTCTACCCTACTCCTCACCTCTCTCCTCCCACATCCTCCTCAATCCTCATCGTCCTCCTCCTCTACTCGTCGTCCTCCTCCTACTTTCCTCCCCTCCTCCTACCCTCTCCTCATCCTCTCCTCTCCTTTCTCCCCCTCTTTTTACTCTTCTCCTGGACCGCCTCTCCTCCTCCTGCTATTTCGTCCTTCGACCTCCTCCTCCTCCTCCTCCTCCTCCTCCTCCTCCTCCTCCTCCTCTTCCGCCTCCGCATCCCTCAGGGGCAAGGTCAGGGGGGGAAGAAAGGCTGATAGGTTCAGGGATTTCGGGTGTTGTTTTTCGTCGGTCCTCGGCGGTTCTCCAGTCTCAGGGGGGTGTTCCAGCGGCTGCGCCGCTTCGAGAGCACTCCAGAGTGCCAGGAGGGGCCCAGCGCGGACCCAGAAATTCCGCGCGGAGCGCCAAAAGTGTATGTTTCTGGCGCTCTTCTTCTCCGAAGGAGGCACAAGAGCACCCCTCCTCCTCCTCCTCTTCCTCCTCCTCCTCCTCCTCCTCCTCCTCCTCCTCCTCCTCCTCCTCCACCAACACACGAAGAACCTCAGGGGGGCCCTCCCCGAACCGACCTCGAGGTGACGTACCTCGGCCCGACCGCCTCGAGCCGGATATCCGGCCGCGGCGACGAGAGGCCTACGCGGGAGAGGCCCCCCAAAAACAGACGAGAAGCGCCAGGGAGGGCCGCCGCCCACCCTGGACACACGACGCCACAGCTTTTTGTTTGGTCAGTGGCGCGGAAGACAGCACGCGCTGCGGCCCCACCGAGGGTGCTGCCCTGGCCTCAATTCGCGTGCTCGTCACACGGCTTAGGTGTGATCCCCCGGCGAAGCTGCCTCAGCCTCTGCCGTGCCAGTCGCCACCACACGACGCGCGGCTACCGCCGCGGACATACGACGCCACAGCCAAGGTGCAACCTCTTGCACCCCAACTCGGCCTGCGCTCCCTGGACGAGGCCAGCACGAGGATCCATGCGGGGGTGGATACATCGAGAATCTCTGAGACCCGGCAGTTCCGAAGGATGCCTCGGGGGCCGCGGCCTTCTTCTCGGAGCGTTCCGGAGCGCTCTTAGAGCGTTCTAGAACGCGAACGCTCCGAAACGGATCGATCCTCGTCCCAACCCCGTCCGAAACTCCCTGGATCCAATCTCCCTGCGGCATCTTCCGAGCAGGAACGGTCCGCGAGGGACCCGGGGCCTGAGGCAAGGCAAATTCGCCCAAACTGCCCCAAACGTCGACCCCTGGGAGGTCTCGACCCATTCCCCAGGACCAGTTGTTCATCCGGAGTCCTTTTTGGCATGTCCCGAGGCCCGTTGGCCCAGATCCGCTCAAAATCGGTCCCCAGACCCCTCCTGGAATCCATCCTTGGCGACGAGAAGCCTCCAGGAAGCCCAGAGAGAGAGCGAAAGACATCAAGGAGGGTCGCCATGGTCTCGACGGGCCCTCCTCCGTGAGGTCTCCAGGGAGCCGAGAGCGACGAAAACCTTCCCGCTGGATTTGTCCGAGGCGTGGGATCTCCATGGGGGGAGGGCCGCCGTTGTCTCGAGTGGCCCTCCTCCGAGGCTGGGTGAGGCAGTGGCACTCGAACGGCTTGTCGCTGCTCGCCACGAGGCGCACGGCGCTGCGTGTGAACTGGCCGCGGGGCACCTCGCCTCAGTGTCTGGCCGATCACTCAGCAGATCACGACCACCGAT